ATATATATATATATATGAAGCTATAAAAAAAGAATCTACACTGAACCTGCATCCTTTGAGAGCTTGGCCAATAAAATAACGATGTTAAACTGGGTGTGGTGGCAATGCCTTTTTAAAAAGAATTTGAGCCTAGAGGATGGAGAGTGTGAGACCAGCTCAGGCAGCACAGCAAGATCCATTAAAAAAAATCTCAGGAGAACTGGATATTTCAAGTCAAAATATTAAAGTTACAAACTCTAAGTGCAGTTAGTATTACTCCAACATTGAACAGTGATGAATTTCTGTTTTTTATTGCATAAGAAGTCAAATCTGGTGTTGTAATGAAATCATGATACAGTGAATATAGAGTAATTTTTGGAGTACTGAAAATGTGCATATTTGTTCAGAGACAATGTGTCCTGTCATTTTTCTTCTAAGTGCTCTAATCTGTAAGAAAGGCTATTTTTAAACATTTTAGGAAAATTCTTCTGTCACCTAAGCACTCATAGTTACTGGAGTTAATGAATCCATTACTACAAAAGCACAGTATGCATCGTGAACTTACACACTGTGTTTATGTCGCTCTGTTGGCACTAGGCACGTATTTACTGAGTTGTAGTTTAGTGGATTAAAGTTTTGAATTTTATCTCTTTAGTAGTAGTCATATAACATTCTAGCCTTCCCTTTTCTTAAAGACTAACTCTATCTAATTTACCTAAGTGGCTTGAATAGTGAAAAATGGAAGGAATTGGGAACTGGATTGGTTCAAATGTCTTGCACAAGACAAAGAATTAGGAAACAAGTCATCTCTAAATCACGCTTGCTGCATCGAAATAGACTTTATCATTAATGACTGAAGGTTCATAAAGAGCCAATATATCATCTGAAATACCTGCCTAAGAGAGTGGGAGTAAGTATGTGTAATTTAAAACACCTCATAATTTTAAAAACATGTTAATTTAAAAATATCAGTAATTAAGATGTTAATATTTGAGCCACAGAAGTCTACAAGCAATGTCACTTTTTAGAAAGCTTTTATTGAAATTACCTTAAGAAATACATTGTTAAGAGACATTTTAAATGTTCTCACCACAAAAATGAAAAGTCTGTGAGATATTGCACATAGTAATTAGCTCAGTGTTAATGGTCACAATGTATATACACAAGTATGTGTGTATTAAAGCATGTTTTATATGATAAATATGTATTTTGAATATTTAATTAGAAATACATTTTAAAATAGAATAA